TCGCTCTCGGTCCTTGTTGTCTGCAGGCAAGATCGGTGCTCCACAGTCCGGAGCGAGAGGGTAGGGGTGCCCTCTCCAGCGACAACTTGGTGTGTGTGTTGCATCGACGTCCGGTGGTTTCTCATGGAGGCACGGTCTCTCTTCTACTTAGTAGCCTCGGGTGTGTCTCGGTGGAGTGTAGGCACACTTGTAATCTTTCTATTTTTGATCTGCTTTGTAAGAGGTTTCTCCCATCACTTTGTATCTGTTCGGCCATGTTGCTTTATATATAAAGCGGGACGAAAGGCTTTTTCGATATTACAACACTCGTTTACCAAGATTTTGGACCCAACTGCGCCAAGCAGGCCCATGCATGGCCTGCATCACCATGCCGGTTGTCCAGCCATTTTCTCAATTTTTAGGCCCAACCCAGCCCATTTAATTCGTGTCGTGCAATGGCGGTAGGGTTTCATGCCAGCCCAGAAAAGCCCCGCCCGCGTCCGAAATGAATCCGTTCATGAATAGCTTACTTGAAGTCTAACATCGTACATGCACGGATGCACATGATTTGATTGGTTTGCAGTGAACTAACACTGAGAGGGTAAGTAGGTCGTGCGATCTCGCGACTCTTGACATTGGGTTGGCCTACCTGCAACCGGTGACATGGTACAAAAGCAGCTAGCTAGGGTTTGTTGTGCTGTTGGCTGGAGGAATTGGATCCTTTTCATTTTAATACCTGGAGATCGCGAGGCATGTGATCTAGTGCTACAGGGGTGTTAAGCTTATTTTCATCACCAAGCATTACCATGGGCCATGGCAAATACGCAATAGTCCTTGACAATTTACAGGTTGGCTTCCATAAATTGAGAACCTTTTATACAGTATAAGAACCTACCGATTTTTCGTAACTCGTAAATGCATTGTATGCAGTTTTTTTTTTGCATAGTAATACATGTCTTATTAATAAAATAAAGAGTCACTTACAAGCCACACAAATATCGACATTGCAGGACTGATAGGATAATCCTATGAAAAAAACTAGCGCTTGTTCCTCTCCACTAAGAAAAGGAAGATAGATCACCTCTTCACCCGAACTCGACGCGGCTCAATCGCTGATCAGCACCTTTACGGACCTCCAAAGTAGTTTGACTGAAGCAAAACCATTGCCGTTGTAAGAATCAGACCGGGGCAATCTGCGGTCCTTGGCTTGGCACTTGGCTCACCGTGCACTTGGCTCTCACATCCTTGGCTTGGCTGAGATAACGTAGGTAGAAGGAGGTGTAGCCGTCCTTGTCGTCTGGGTAGAAGGCGATCTGCCAATTCATGCATTGTACGCAGTTGTTGTAGCGCCAAAGAATGCACTACGATGCGTGTATGTACGGTTCCATCGGCAGCGTTGAGTAGCCGCAACGCGACATGCATACAAAACGGTACGTATTGCGCCGTGCACAAGCATGTGCAGTACGTAGGGTACGGTGGTGTGCCGTGCCGTCCTCCGTCACCTGACCTGCCGCTCGTCAGCGTCAATGGCTACATGTTAGTCGTTTGTCACGAGCCATTTGGAAGGAAGAATAAGCATCCATCGAGCAGCACCTGCATGCATGCGCGCATGGAGCAGAGTGCTCAGCATCTCACACCAACACTGTCAAGGCCCAAGCTCACCACCAACGGCGACGAGCTCCCCGAAGCTGCCGTCCTCGATGATGCGGGCGCCGCCATGGCCGGCTTCCGTGGACCACCTCCGCCAGCTCGGGGACCTCGCACAGTACGTCGCTCCTGCCCCGTCCCTCCATCCCTCCGTCCTGCTGCATACTGCAACTGCAAATTCACTGGACTAGTTCCTTATCTTCAGGCTCGCCGCGGAGGTGTTCCACGGCCTGCACGACCAGGCCACGGCGGTGGCCGCACGGGCGAGCGGCCTCACACTGGGGGCGCGGCGGATCGAGGCGGCGTTGCCGCTCGTCGAGGAGCGGCTCCGCCGTCGTCAGAACGGACGGTCAGTAGTTGCGTGTCGCGTCCCAGGCCACCGTGCCGATTGGCCGCCGCCGGTGATTGTGGTGGGAGGAATAAGGCTGTGTTCCATCGCAAAGCTCATCCAGCTCTGCCGCGGGCCTCCTCGGTGATTGCTGGACAAGTAACAACACTCGCTTACCAAAAATTAAGCTGCTCAAAGATAATCTTTTCCTGGTTAATCTTGCAGGTATGATGCTGGTGGCGAGGGAGCGTGCTTGAAGAGATACACCGACCCCTCCTTCTTCAAAGCCCACTCTGCAGAGCACGAGCATATCTTGCAGGAAACCAAGCCAAAGTTTCAGAGTCCAGACATCCATTCGAAACATCCTGCAGAGGAAGCCTATCGTAAAAAATATTCCATGTAACACTTCTTTAATTTCTCCCTTATTTTCCAGCTTTCTTCTCAGTGTTCATCTTTAGCATCCAAATTAACCTGACATTTGAACCTCCTGCAGATTCAAAACAGGTGTGTTGTCTGATACGCTCCGACGACTTAAATACCGTGACATGTTTACTTGAATTCTATTAAATACCGTGACATATTTACTTAAATACCGTGACATATTTATTGTCACCCAAGTACCAGCACCAGCCCAAATTCAGACGTGATCCTTATGGCTTCGGCTTGCATTCCGGTCAAAGGACTGAAATATTCACTTGAATTCTATTAAATATTTGATTTTTTGAAAAACTTTCTGAAACATATTTGAATTCCTGTGTACTACTGAAGTTACTGAAATATTTTGACCAAAAAGTAAATAAGTAAGTTTCTACTGAAATAGTGAAATTCAGTGAATTTCAACGAAATCTCACTGAAATTGAAAACCATGCTTCTGTGCCGGACAGTGAATAGTGCCATTTACATGGACTGCATACACCTTCAGGCCTTGCTTTATACAGAAAACACAACTGTCGACAACATCCTGCTGCTGCTGGGATTATCAGCTACAAAGTGCAAGCAAAAAACGAAAACTCCAGCCTAAACTTAACGCTGATATCACCTGTGATAGCAATGGCTATCAGTCAAGGTACATAAGGGGTCTGTGATTGCATCGCTTCAAGTTAGAATACTTGAATGAAAATTACCATGATAAACCGTGCAGCTGATGACAATTCATTTCAAGGTATCTAGAAACATAAGACTGAAAAGATTCGGCAAGGATGTTCATGCTGATACCATCCACCGAGACGCAGCATGAAGAAACTGGTCATTGAGAAACATTCAGAAAAGCTCGGAGACCTCGTGCACTACGTTGCTCCTGTCCCTCCCCTTCCCCCTACTGCATACGCTATAATTTTGGCCACGGCCGCTGCCACAACACGCGCTGTGCCATTTCGCATTGCGTCAACCCGCGCAACTGCAAGAGCACACGTATTCGGATGAACACGACAATGACAGTGATGGTACTTGGGTGACAGGCATGTAGAAAACGCTGGCATGCCTAACGCGCCATTAATTGGACGATCTGACGATGATGTCCATATTTTCCCCGTCGAGCACGGTGCCGAATAATACCGACGTCACAAAATGACTAGATCCAACCAAGCATTAAGTGAGTGGATTGTCAGTGTCACCGGTCATTGGCCTGAAGCGTACGTAGCAAGTACTTGAACGACGACTTGAGACTTGAGGTTGCCTGGCCAGGCCGGTTCACTCACGTCACAAATAGAAAAGTATTGCATTCAACCACAAAGGTTCCAATATAACCACACCTCGGAAGCACTCATAAGGAGATAAAGTTGTCCTCTTGGCCGTCTACAGTTCAGAAATCCCAAGCACCATGGCCAAGGACAAAGAGACCGGCGTGCGGTCTTCGTGCGCCGCTGGTGATAGGAGAGCCATGCCTCTCGAGCCTTACTACCTGGTGGCTCTGTTCCTCCTGCTCCTCAGGGCTGCTGGTCGCTGCCTCGCGGCCACAGGTGGTGGCGGCACCGATGACGGTCGGGAGTTCGCCTACAACGGCTTCAAGGGCGCGAAGCTGACGCTCGACGGCGCGGCCTTCACGCCGGACGGCCTCCTCATGCTGACCAATGGCACCATTCAGACGAAAGGCCAGGCCTTCCACCCATCCCCACTGCCGTTTCGCGCCGAGGCGAACGGCACCGGTGCCGCACGGTCCTTCTCCACTACTTTCGTCTTCGCCATCTACGGGCAGTCCGCGAACCTAAGCAGCCCCGGCATGGCCTTCTTTGTTTCCAAATCCAATGAGGTTCTCTCCACTGCGACGCCAGGCCAGTTCTTGGGCCTCCTCAACCACACCGATGGAGGTAACCGGAGCGACAACATCTTTGCTGTGGAGTTCGATACGCTCTTCAACGCCGAGTTCCGCGATATCAACAACAACCACGTCGGCGTCGACGTTGATAGCTTGGTGTCGGTCGTATCCGCAGTGCCTGGGTACCTCGATAACTTCGGGTTTAACGGGCACGGCCCAAATTTCAATAACCTAAGCCTGATCAGTGGGAAAGCCATGCAGGTGTGGGTGGACTACGACGGCCGGGCCACACAGGTCAACGTGACCATGGCACCCCTGGGCGTGGCCAGGCCTAGGAGACCCCTCCTGCAGACCACCGTCGACCTCTCGAGTGTGTTGCAGAGCACGGCGTACGTTGGCTTCTCGGCGGCAACGGGCGCGCTCACCACACGACACTTCGTCCTCGGCTGGAGCTTTGCGCTGGATAGTCCAGCCCCTGCCCTGGACATCTCAGCAATGCCAGCCTTGCCTCCGCTGCCCTGGCCCGAGCCACAGTCCCAGTCCAAGTCCAAATCCAAGTCCAGGGCTCTCGAGATCGTGCTGGCCACGTCGGCGACGTTGGTTTCAGCAATAGGGATCGGAATCTACATATTTGTAAGACGACGGAGTCTCAAGTACTCGGAGGTGCATGAGGATTGGGAGGTTCCGTTCGGCCCAAACCGATTCTCTTACAAGGACTTGTTTCATGCAACCGAAGGGTTCAGCAACAACAACCTGCTCGGCAGGGGAGGTTTTGGAAGTGTCTATAAGGGTATGCTTCGCAAGCCTGACATGAAGGTCGCCGTAAAGAGGATGTCACATGATTCTAGGCAAGGAGTAAGGGAGTTCATTGCTGAGGTGGTGAGTATTGGTCGTCTTCGACACCGAAATATCACGCAATTGTTGGGTTATTGCAGGCGTAAGGGCGAGCTTCTCCTGGTATATGACTACATGGAAAATGGTAGTCTTGACAAGTACCTACACACAAGAAATGGCCCAACTCTATGTTGGTCCCAGAGGTATTCAATCATCAAAGGTGTGGCATCAAGTTTGTTGTATCTGCATGAGGACTGGGAGCAGGTCGTCATCCATAGAGATATAAAGGCAAGCAATGTGCTCTTGGATAGTAAGATGAATGGAAGGTTGGGCGATTTTGGTCTTGCAAGGATATACGACCACGAAACAACCGCTGAAACCACCCATGTGGCTGGCACTATGGGATATCTTGCGCCTGAACTCTCGCGCGCGGGGAGGCCAACACCCTTCTCTGATGTGTATGCATTTGGCGTGTTTCTCCTAGAGGTCACATGTGGACGCATGCCAATCTTCATCGATGAGCAAAACAACCGGGTTTTGTTGGTTGAGTGGGTGCTTGAGCACCACCACGATGGCTCGATGCTCGACACGGTGGATCCACGACTCGGAGGGGAATTCAACAAGGAGGAGGTAACCATCATGCTCAAATTGGGTTTGCTATGCACATACCCGTCACCCAATGCACGGCCTATCATGCGAAAGGTCATGCAGTACCTCGACCATGGTCAATCGCCTCCTGATTTATCTCCGGCCTACATAAGCTACATAATGATGGCCCAAATGCAAAATGAAGGGTTTGATTCACACAACATGCCATGTTCTCAACCCATAGCGAGTGTTGCCACTGTATCAGGAGAGTTATCGGCGACTATTTTGCGAGAGGGAAGATGAAGTGTGTGTTTAATCTCTCTCTCTCTCTCTCTCTGTTGTGTGTGTGTTGAATTACGCAGAAATTGTGTTCTGTTGTCCGGCACTGTTGTGTCATGCGTGTCGGAACTGTCCATTTTCTATTATATGGTTGGCTAATCAATATATGTGTAAGTGATTAAGAAAGGTTCCATGCATGAATTTGAAGGTTGGAGTGTACAAGTACCTCTGACTAGTCGTTGATCAGTCCGACAACCTGTAATTGTGTCCACCAAATGAATCCATATTGTGTATTGATGAACAGCTTGATTGAAGTTCAAGAGCTGCATGCACATGATTCGATTGGCTTGCGACGTAAAGTAACCCTCGGAGGATAACTAGGTTGTGCTCGTGCTCGTGACTGGGTACTCAGGGCACCACTGGGTTGGGCTCTACCTGATATTTGTCCGGTGGCATGTTTGCAAAAACTGCTAGCAAGCTTTTGTTGTGTTGTTGCCTTGAGGAAATCGACCGTTAGGCTACTCCAACTTTTCGTTAGAAGAATTCACTATGGCTGTACTCTTTGATTACTTTGAAGCTGGCTTGTAAATTGAGAGCCTTATAAACGGTAACAATGCATCATTCCGGAGAGTAATTTTTTTTTTTTGCAGGGAAATTGGGAGCTTTATTCAACAGAAACCACCCCGGCCGAATCAGCCAGGAGGCTAGTTACAAGAAAACTAGGAGTGGAGTCTAACCAACAATCTGTTACATCCAAAGTGCTAGCTTGCTTCGCACAAAGATGAGCCGGAAAGTTGGCTGACCTCAAAACATGTTGAATAACAAAAGACTTAAAAAAAGAGGCATGCTCCTCAATCTCAGTAAGAATAGGCGCCACCACCGAACGGTCATGGCGTGTGTGCCAGAGATTCACCATCTCTAGGTTGTCGGTCTCCAAGATGACTTGATCATATCCTCGAAGCCTTGCAAAAACTGCTCCATCTCGAAGAGCCAACGCTTCAGCTAGAAGGGGATCCGTGATCCCCGTGTAGGGCTTACACCATGCAGCCTTAAGCTCAGACGAGGATCGAGCCACCCCTCCAGCTCCTCCTCGACGGGACTCCATGGCAATGCTACCGTCAGTATTGATTTTTATCCATCCTACATCAGGCGGTCTCCACCCATGACCGGGCAAGATACATGCGTGCGCTTGAGGTAATTCCAACACAACAAGAGCTTCCCGTATTCGCTTCATAGCCTGAGCGGGATCGGAGCCATCTTTGTCATGTGTGATATTGTTACGTGAAGTCCAGATCGACCACATGACAGAAATCATCTTGGCTCTGTCTGACTCTGAAAATGAGGAGTCACAAAGAAAGTCTTTTGCCCAGGTGAGAGGATGCAAGTCTGGTCGCTTTATATCAAGCCATTCAGTTGCTTCGTTCCAGAACCTTCTCGCATGGGAACAATTCAATAAAGCATGCATCATATCCTCGTCCGAGTGCAAATAGATTTTGCACTTACTCTCAGTGGATATATGTCGATATTTCATAGTGCTTTCCACGGGCAAAATCCCACATAAAACACGCCACCAGAAGACCCGTACTTTGGGCAAGACCTTGAGTTTCCATAGCCGAGACCACAACTGTTTATCAGTCTCTGAAGTATCCATCATCGTCCCTTCTTCTAGAGCTTTTTGCTCGTTCTGAATCATAAGAGAGCGATAAGCTGACTTTACAGTGTATATCCCCGACCTCTCAGGTGCCCAAGCTATAAAATCTTCTCCACCTCCCGATCTCAAAGGTATATTAAGTATTGCATTAGCATCCGGGGGTATAAAAGATTGCCTCACAGCATCAGTTTTCCACGTCCAGTTCTCATCATCAATCAGATCAGCGACCCAACTGATTTGCGCATCTCCCAGGCGGGCTACAGGGGTCATTGTAAGTGTTTCTGGAATCCATTTATTTTCCCAAATAGACACCGTTGTACCACTGCCAACACGCTTAATCAGCCCCGCCTTCAGAGCTTTCCTTCCAGCAATGATCGCTCGCCAAGTCACCGAAGAATTCTTGGGCGCACTTGCTTGCATAAAATCAGAAGAAGGGAAGTATCGTCCTTTTAACATTCTAGAACACAGAGAGTTTGGTTCAGTCATCAGTCTCCATCCATGTTTACCCAAGAGTACAATATTGAACATTTCCAAGTCCCGGAACCCCATCCCTCCTCTGATTTTTGGTTGTGAGAGAGCCTCCCAACTCATCCAATGCATTGAACGCCGATCGATAGAACTACTCCACCAACATTTCACCATAGAAGCGGTCAAACTCGAGCAAACTTTCTTAGTCAGTTTGAAACAATTCATGCTGAAAGTGGGTATTGCTTGAGTTATAGATTTTATCCTTACCTCTCTTCCCGCACAAGAGATCATTCTCCCGGACCCCCCTTGGAGTTTACTCCTCATTCTTTCTCCAATATGATCAAAAGTCCCACTGGTTATCCTCCCAACAGCTGTAGGCAGCCCCAAGTACCACTCACTGAATGCCTCCACATTTATCCCAAGAATTTGCTTTAAAGCTTGCCGGATCAGAGCCAGAGTGTTTGGACTAAAATAGATAGAACTTTTATCCTTATTCACTGCCTGTCCCGAACACTTGCCATAGATCCGCAAGATCTCATTCAAACGGTGAGCACTCTGCACTTGAGCTTGCATAAAAATGAGACTATCATCTGCAAATAATAAGTGATTAATCCATGGAGACCGATAACTCACCCTTATCCCTTTATCAACTCGTGTTCCACCAAAATTATTCAGTAAAGAGGTGAAACCTTCAGCACAGAGAAGAAACAAGTAAGGTGATATTGGATCACCTTGCCGTAATCCACATGATGGAGTAAAGAAAGGCAGCAGCTCGCCATTGACACGTACTGAAAACCGAACCGAAGTCACACATTTCAGGATCAGTCGCACGAACTATGCACCAAAACCTAGTTGCAACATGATTGCCTCAAGATAGTGCCACTCAACACGATCATAGGCCTTCATCATATCCAACTTCACGGCACAAACTGCATTGCCCCTTTCTTCCTTCGCCTCATAGCATGCACACTCTCATGCGCAATTAAAACATTGTCAGTGATCAAGCGGCCGGGAACAAAAGCACTTTGTTCTTCTCCAATGATCTCATCCAAGCAAACTCTGACCCGATTGGCAATAGCCTTTGCAGCGATTTTATACAAAACCGGACATAGAGATATCGAACGATATTGAGAGATTTTCTGAGGGAACCGTACCTTTGGGATCAAAGTTATAGAAGTATCATTCATACCCTCCGGGAGCTCACCTCCATTCAGAAAGTCCAAAACTACTGGTACAATGTCATCTTTCAACAAATTCCAATGTCGTTGAAAAAACCCGGCAGTAAACCCATCCACCCCCGGTGACTTTGACGGCGCCATTTGAAACAAAGCAACTTTAATTTCTTCCTCAGTATATGGTTTCTGCAGCTCCTGGTTCATAGTGTCTGTAACATGATTAGGAACAAAGTCCAGTAATTCATCCATTTGCTGGAACCCCCGCGATGTGTACAGAGCTTGGTAAAAAGCCTGAACTTCAGCTCGATCCTCTTCCACATCTGTACACTTTGAGCCATCTACCCGCTCGAGAGGCTCTATCTATTCATGCGCTTCCGTTGAGCAGCTTGGGCCTGAAAATAGCATGTATTTCTATCACCCTCACGGAGCCATGAGACTCGAGATCTCTGCCTAACCCAAATCTCTTCTTGTTTCAGAGCCAGCCGCAGTTGTTTTGTAACTGCTCGCTCTTCCTCCGTCGGTCCCCTGCCAACGGATTGGGCCCTAAGACGAGCAAGTTTCTCACGCAATTTACAAACTTTTCGCAACAGGGACCCAAATTCCCGCGCCCCGACGCTGACATGTTTCCTTGTAGCACGCTGAGAGCTTGAGCAACGCCCTGTAAACCCTGGCCTCCCGCACCTCGCTGCCAATTGTCAATAACCAACTTATCATAATCGACGTGCGTCTGCCAAACATCCTCGTACCTGAAAGGCTTCGGCCCTCTAGGCACTGACGAAACAGAATGCTCACGAACATCCACAAAGATAAAGTTGTGGTCTGATTCCGTTGCAACAATATGACAAACCTTGATGTATTCAAACATATTTATGAAGGATAGATTTCCAAAGGCCCTATCAAGCCGCGCTTTCACATTCGCTCTTCCCGATTGCCTATTATCCCAAGTATACTCCACCCCCGACCATCCAAGATCCGTAAGTGAGCAAAAATCCGTCACTTCCCGAAATGCCCGCATCTGCCATTCCGGGCGAGGTGACACAAAAAAGTGTTCTGATCCAAATAAATTTTCATTGAAATCACCAATGCATATCCAAGCCTCATGTTGGATCTCAAACAGTGTCCTCAAGAAACGCCAACTATGATGCCTGTCCTCGGCTCGTGGTGCTCCATAGAACCCTGTCACTCGCCAAGTCCTCCCATCTCCACCCTTTCGACTGACCATAACATCAATATGGCAGGAACTGTAATACTTTAGCTCAACGTCAAAGTCTTGAGACCAGAACAAACCGATCCCACCACTCAGACCCACGCTATCTACTGCAAAACAACCCGCAAAACCAAGATGGCTCTGCAGTCTTTCCACTCTTATTGCCGAAATTTTGGTCTCCATCAGAAACAGGAGACCGGGACCTTCTTGCTTCACAATGCTGCGAAGCTCACGAACTGCCCCAGGGTTCCCAAGCCCCCGGCAGTTCCAACTTAGGCAACTCATTGCCCTCGGCAGGGCTGACCAGCAGCCGCTGCCGAACAATCTGAATTTCTTGGTGTTGGTTTTTTCTTTTTTGGTTCCCTGACCTCACCATCCCCAGAGTCTGAACCTCTCTCTGAAAACTGTCCGCTACCTGAACCCTTTGGATCAGCATCCTCATCAGTTACATGTTCAGAGTTCATCAACAGCGGCATCTCAACTTTCCGGTACACCTGTTTGGGACCATGAGGACCTCATTTCC